GGAGTAGTACTATTTGCTGCACAGTATTACTGACCGCCATATTTGAGCACAACATTATTATGCATGGACCTTGACTATGTACGTCACCATGTGTCCAGATCTGGGATGCCGCGTGTCCCAGATGAACGGCGCCGAGTTCGACCCCCGTGATGCTACGTGGGTGCCGAGGAACACTCTTGGAGAGTACTCGCTTTTCATCGGGGACAGCTACCCCATTGTGAAGCGGATGCCACCTTCCGTGCATGATACGGAAGGCCTGCCGTTCATGAAGCATGGTTGTGTCTTCAGTGCGCACCGCCGGATGAATGACATGCTGGGACACGCTATCCCTGATTTATGCCGCTTCAGCTTGGATGAGTCTCCATCGTGTGGAACCGGACTAGAAAGCTGCAACAATGATTCCCGTTGCCCACCGCTATGGATCGTGCCATCCATGAAGAACACCTAGGACTGGAACCTGGTGGAGGACATGTAGCCCATCTATAACGTGTAAGTGGAGTACAGTAATTGTGAACGGTAGCGCTGCAAATATATGTAGACTAGTCGTGCACAGATTTATCACATGAATTGGAGATGAACTTGTGTGGCATACTGGCATTTGTCCTTTAGAATTTATTACTAGTAAATGTGTTATGTGTACTTGCAACTTGTGTGGTTGTTGCACGGGCTCCAACACGCTCTTTGAGAAAAAAAAAGGTGGCACAACTTTGGATATACGTGACGTGGCGGCATCATACGGTAGCATCATTCGCTATAGTTGTAGTACACTCCTACTAGGACGACAACTCCTATAAAACCTTGCACTTGGCTCTTTGCCTCTTCGGGAGGTTCAATAGTTCGTACTTGTGTGAACCTTGCACTTGGCTCTTCGCCTCTTCGGAAGGTCCAACAATGTGATACTACAATACAATATGCTTCTGGCAATCTGACACCGATTGAACTGCTGCACGTCCACCGCGATGGCGAGGGCGAGGGCGAGGGAGAGGGAGAGGGAGAGGGCGTTGTAGTCAAAACCATCTCCTCGTCCTGCGAACCACCGCGCGCGTGGGCGAGGGAGAGGCGTAGTAAGCAAGCTTCTCCTTGTTCGGCGAGTTGACGGGACACATCAAAGCAATACTAGTACTAGTAGTAGTAGTCCATACTGCGTCCTTTCCGATTAATATGGCTTAATTTGAAACAAGAAAAATACACTAGCGGTCAACGTATGTAACAATACGCTCTTTACGGTCACTATATATAGTTTTGCGGCAATTATACGATCACTAGCTCATCGTAGAGCACCGTATCGCACCCTACTGACCGGCCACATAGTCGACGTGGCACTTTGTTGACTGGTTAAATTGTCACCTGGTTTCTGGGTCCCACCTGTCAGTTGGCAGAGCAAAGAAATCAGTTAAACAAAACTTTACGCAGGCGCGACACGAGTCCAACCCTTGCGCGCGAACTGCCCTGGCTGTGTATGTGAGTGCATGCACGTGTCCTCCCTCGGTCTTCCAACAAAGAGTGTACATCGGCTATAAAAAAAGAGTGTAGTACATGATGTACATCTACACTTCCAATGCATTTAGCCTTTAATCTAAATCGATATTGATTGACTAATGCACCAACTTGTGTTGTAGGTATAGGCTACATGTCTGTCCTTAATTACATCATGCAACGGCCTTCATTTAATCTTCTTATCTCAATGGTCGCATGCACATATAAGTCTGCTACTTTTGGGCATTAATTATGCCCTGGTCAATGTGTAAATCTCTAAATGTACAGTCTTTCACGGACGTAGGGAGTAGGTTGAGCACTTGAGCGTGAGTGTGTGTATTGCGTCGTGTGCTGTGTGTCGCATGGGTGTGTGAGTGTTGCGTGCGTCCATGTGTACGTGTGAGTGTTACTCCCTCCCATTGACATGTTCATGTTTCAAGCTTCCTCTGTTCCCTCCATATGGTGATACTCCCTCTGTTCCCAAATAGTACGGAGTAAAAGCCTCCCTCTGCTCCCAAATACGGAGTATTTGTCTTTCTACAGATTTCAACAAGTGACTAGGTACGGAGAAAAATGAGTGAAGTGAGCGTAGAGGCATAGGGATACTGTAGAAAGGAAGTCCTCGCGATCCATTATTCCCCATCTCGGTCAGAGAGAACTATTCAACTAGTCTTCGCAGTGAAGTGACAATACACGCTGCAGCAGATGGGACACGTAATTAATAAGCTGAACCAGCGTGTTGGTGTTACTAAATCAGCCTTACCCAGTACTGCCATCTCTTCTTCTTCCTCCTCTCTTCTTCTTCCTCCTCTCTTCCCCATCATCGGCCGCACACCATTTACCCCCACTCACTACTCGCCCGCCCGCGCCATCTTCCTTGGTAGCTCGCGCGTACCATATCCCCCCGCTCACTGCTCGGCCACACGTGGAGAAGCTTCTTCCCTCGCCCGACCGAATCCACTTCCCTGCTGGCTCGCAGGCACCGAAAACCCCAATGGCAGAACCGACTAACACGCAGAGCCGCGATTGGAATTCCCTCCCCGATGTTCTCTTGGAGCAGATCTGTAGTCGTGTGGACCTACTCAGCACCGTCCGTCTGGCCGCATGCTCGGTGTCTTTGTACCGCCTACTCGTCTGCAATCGGCCGGCTCTTTTCAAGACACCCTGCTTGCTGATGCCTGATCCTTGCAGGTGGCCTAGACACCGACTTGACGATCCTACGGAGGTTGCCATGGTGCCCCTCGACATGCTACCACTACCCATCCACCTGTCCTTCATGTGCGACCACTACTGGGTGGGCATGAAGGCCAACTGGATCGTCCTCATCCACCACACCGATAGTCCGTGGCGTCTCATAGATATCTACACCCAGCGAGAGATCACCCTTCCATCGTTGGATACCGCCGCCATCGAGCCTCGCGGCCCGCCGGACACTCCTGCCTACTATGCATGAGACGCATCAAGCTTTTGGCTCGACCTCTGTTTGCAGAAAGTTGTAATCTGTGAAGTGTCCACACCATCAGAAGACTACATGGATTACAAGATCATTGCCTTGTTCAACATGGGACTAGTCTATCTGGAATCCGGTCGCCATACATGGTTATGGCTCATCATCAATCCTGTTGAGGCAACATTTCTGTCTGATGATATAGTGCACGATGGCATCATTTACGCGGTCGACGCACAGATTGGCTGCCTATACTGGTGGAGTCTATCGTCGTGTAATTGTTCTATCTCATCTCATCTTTACCTTAAGAATACGACTGCCTGTTCATTTCTTACAAATTTAGAATGCATAGCATGTCTATAACCACATCATTGCTATATGTTCCTCTCATTTCCTAGATTTTTATGACCACACATGTTATTGTTAGAGTTGATATGAGAACAATTGGCATCTAATGATTGTTAGAATACATATTATGAGCATAACATCATGATTGCTATATTTTACTCTCGTTTACAAGATTTTTGTAACAATGCATGTTATTGCTTAGAGTTGATATGAGAACAGTAGTAGTAAGTACTATGGTAGAATATGAGTAGGCGATGTCATAGCTGTTTTCCTCTCATTGTTACATGATGTTTGAACCATGACATATTGCTAGAATATGAAAGCCATTGGCTTATTTTTTTAACTTGGGGTATGATTATGACCACGGCATTGCAATTCTCTGTCTATGATATGTGTCACTGTTATAATAATCTTAATTCCACACATACTCTGAATATGATTGTTTATTTTGTCCTTTTGGTCTCCAATTTGAATTATTGCAGCTGACGCAAATGCGCTGGCCTTCATGATTTCAGGACCTGGAATCATACCAGCCGATGGGTGGTGGTTTATCGCTCGTTCAGCTGACAGCGGTCATTTGATGCTCATTCGCACCTACCAAATTGACCAAACCATTACATCAAACCACATGCAGTACAATGCGTGGGGCGTTCGTGACATTGATGGCTATGGCTGCTTCGTGTTCGAGAAAGATCCCAGCTCCGTTGGGCCAGGCGTATTCAACTGGAGGTGGGTTTACAGCCTCGGCAACCACTCCTTGTTCCTCGGGCTCAATTATCCAATCATCCAACCAATCATCGATCATATCACCGGCGATGATTACTGTGCTATGCAATTTCCATTCGTGAGGGGGCTGTGTTTACACATCATACCATGGGTTTCATGAATCACCATATCCAGAGATTCGTCGACACAGCTTGTTGCCAGATAATTTTCAGTGTGTGAAAGGCATCAAGCTTCCATGCGATGGATGTCTTTTGCAAACCCGACATGCGGCAATGTGGTTCATGCCAATAGCAAATATGCACAACTTGATTCGTGCTGATATCTAGACTGAGCCATGTATTCTGCTGCTATAGCACGACCCTCTTTTGTTGGATATTATGTACTGTTGTTAGTTCGAAGCACTTCTCTGGTTTGAAGGATAGATACCTTCCTGGGATCAAGTGCATCCTAACTCACCTGCGTAGGATGTACTGATAATGATGATGAAGATGCTATGCAAAAGCCATATATATTAGTTAGGCTTCAAGTGCGTACTTATTAGTTAACCCTTAAGACCCTTAAGACCTTATTCTAATAACATCAAAGCCTTATTCTGATAACACCTCAACCCATCTCCCGCACGACCCCAATCCGACTCCACCTCCTTCCGCCGGCGCCACCATCTCTCCGTCGGCGCCATGAAAAATGAACCGCATGCAGCGATCCAAATTTATTTTTTAGGAAAATCCCCACGACCACTCCCCTCCGCTCATCCCTTATTCTCTCCAGCTCCTTCCTTCAGCTGGGGCGGCGTCCCACCCACACGCCGGCCGACGCCCCTCCTCAAGCCCAGCTATGAGCAGCTCCCCAGCACTTCTCCCCCAGCGACGCGCAGCACCCCGGCACCCCTCCGCCAGCACCCCTCCCCGGCGACCTCCCGTCCCCGGCAACCTCCCGTCGCCTTCTACGCACGCAGACACGCCCCCGCCCTGACCCAGGGCAGCGCCGCCTCCCTCCACTCCTCCTACCTCCGGCTCACCGCCTTCCCCCAATCCTCTCTCTCCACACGATATCCCCTCTCCTCCAGGCCCACAACCTCCCCCGCAGCCTTCTCCCGCTCCGGCGCAGCGCCGCCTTCCCCCGTGCCGCCGCGCCGCAACCTTCCCCCGCTCCGCCGCGCCACCGCCTTACCCCGCTCAGCTGCCCCACCTGCTTCCTCCGTGCTGCGCCTCCGCGCTGCCGCGGCGCCATCACCTGGATGCGCCTCTGTCGCGAACCTTGCCGGTGTGGGAGGCAGAGGCACCAGCCGGGGGAAGCGCTGCACGGCGCTCAAAGCTCGGGAGGATGGGCGTGCGGCTGGATCGAATCGGGACTGAAGCCCTCCTTCCTCACACACTGACGCATGCAGGCCCGGTGGACTGGCGGCGAGCGCGTCGGTGATCTCTGTTCTCCCTCCTCCCTCAACCCTTGTACTCTCCTGCTCACCGACAGGGGGCTTCCAGATGCGCCCGGTCATCTTCCCCTTGGCCTGCCTCCCCTCCCCTGCTACATGACGGCGGCCGGCAAAACAAAAAATGGGTAGCCACCGATGGCAAAACTGGGAGCTGCCTCCTGCCTGGTCGTGCAGTTCCTTGGCTCGCGACGTGCGGTCCGGTAGCATGGGCTTTCTGTTCGCGGGCACGCCGGTTGCCACCGTGCAGTTCGCTGGCTGGTTGGGCATGGTTTCGGTGCCACGGCAATGCAGTTCGATTGAGTGCTTCTGGTGTACACTTCAAATTTGTTTTTTTGTATGTTAAGATTTACAGTGCAATGTGGTGAAGTCCCGGCTGGGTGGTGCTACGATGCAGTTCGTCTGTGCTGCTCAGTTTTTGCTGCTGTTTGTTTTGCCAGGTGGTGCTCGAGTGCTAATTGTGCTACAGCGACGTGCTGTTCACCGAGCTGTATTGTGCCATTCGCCGGGCCACAGAGTGTGGTTCACCGGTCGGCTGCTTGCGGTTCGCCGGGCTATGGAGTGCGGTTCACCGGTCGGCGCCTTTGCAAGCGGTTCGCCATTTGCTTCGATATATTTGTTTTTATGTGGGTGATTTGTAAAACTGCATGGGCATTTTTGTAACAGATTGAAAAAACTCGAAGAAACCTATTGCAGCTCGCTTGGTAAACTCATACGTTTCACTAACATTCGTTATAGATCTCCTTTATTGTCTACTTGGTAAACACAAAACAAAAACATCTCAAAAGAAGCTTGCTTCTATATTCGATGTAGTTACTCGCTCAATCTTTGTGGTCCAGTTGCCGCGCGTACGGGAATAAAAAGTAATAAGTATGATAAACGGCAAAAAAAACTCATGCAGTTAACTTTCGGTAGTGTCGCGGTCTGTTTATGGTAGTCATGAGGTTCACTTTTCATAGTATTGCAGTTCACCAATGCTCGACGTGAAGTGCACTCCATCTTATTTGGTAAAATTTACATCCCACAAAAAAGAAATCATGCAGTGCACTTGTCTGTCCGATGAAGTGCGGTTTTAGTCCAAAGGAGTGCACTCCACCTCGTTTGCGAAAATTTACGTCCCACGAAAAAAGAAAATTTATGTCCCATAAAAAAGAAATCATGCAGTGCACTTGTCTGTCCAATGAAGTGCGTTTTTTGTCTAAATAAGTGTGGTTTTCTGTCTGATGCAGTACGGCTCGTTTACGGTAGTCTCGAGGTTCACTTTTCATAGTACTGTGGTTTACCAACACTCGACATGAAGTGCACTCCACCTTATTTAGGAAAAATTACGTCCCGCAAAAATGAAATCATGTAGTGCACTTGTTTGTTCAATGAAGTGCGGTTGTTCGTCCGATGCAGTGCGGTTTTCAGTCGGATGAAGTACCCACGTCGATTTGGGTGTCACGAAGAACAGAATGTCCGCATTTCGATAAATTTAAAACTGCTTTTAAACTGTAAGGAATTAGAGAGAGTCTTCTACATAAAAAAGTTGCGTCACGTTGATATCTTTCCAACGGCATATCATTTGAATCATTTCAACAACCGGTTTCTAAGAATTTCGCGAAAAACGGCCGCTGCCACTCGTCGTCCGCTGCACGATTTTCAAAATTAACTTAAAAACTGTAAGGAATCTCAAAACCATTTCTACATATGAAAGTTGCGCCTTGTCTATAGATTTCCAACGACGTATTACACGCCTCGTTTCGACAAACGGTTCAAAAACTAGAGCAAAAACAGTACCAAAAATTGCAAAAATTTCAAAAAACAGAATTCCGTGATTTTGTAAATTAGAAACTGCTCTTAAACCATAACGAATTAGAGAAAATAATAGATATGAAAAAGATGCGTCTCGACGATATCTTTTCAACGGCGTATCATTTGTCTTATTCCAATGAGCGGTTTAGAAAAAATCACGAAAATACGCTCGCTGCCACTCGTCATCCGCCGCACCATTTTTTAAACTGCTCTTGAACCGAGCGGAAATCTCGAAAAGTGTTCAACTTGGCAAAGTTGCGCCTAATCAATAGCTTTTCAATGGTATATTATACGCCTCGTTCTGATAAATGGTTAAAAAATTAGAGCGAAAATAGTACTGAAAAAACACTGCCTGCAGTTTTTTCGACACGAAGTTCACTCGTGTGAGTACTGCAGCATACTTGGTTCAAACAATGATGTGCACTTGCATTGAGCGTGTAGTGTGAAAGTGTTATCAGAATAACTATTCTGATAATATTATCAGAATAGATCGGCTATATATATGTGTGTGTGTGTGTGTGTGTGTGTGTGTTACTATTCATCACCCAGAGTGGAGAATAGGTTATTCTTCACCTGAGGTAATCTTATGATGATTTCATAATCAAATTACGTTTCGAATTCAAATAGTTACATTCCTATTGATTCACTACGTAAAATTTAACATAAGAAAAATAAAATTATAGGTCATAAGACAAGAAAATTTGCAGTTTATGTGTATTTTAGACTATGTTTTTACATTTGTAATTTTACATAACATAAAATATTTTTTTATGGTGATTATATATTTCTTACGGTCCCTTTTTGCGTCGGAAATAAGACAAAACTTATGAAACGTAAAATTACGGTGCATTGATGGTAAAATAGAGGGGGGTGAAGAATGAATAGTTATCTTCACCCCCTCTTTATTTTGACATCAATGCACCGTATTTTTATGTTTCATAAATTTTGTCTTATTTCATACATAAAAAGAAACGTAAGAAAATATGTACTCACCGTAAAAAATATTTTATGTTACATAAAATTACGAATGTAAAACATAGTGTAAAACATACATAAAATGTGATTTTTCTGGTCTTATAACCTATATTTTTGTTTTTTATACCAACTTTTAGATATTAAATCAAAATGCATGTAACTATTTATATTCT